TCCTCACTGTCCGCCCATGGTATGCCAACACCTTACAAGTCAAGGTTGTGGGTGTTTTTGGTTCACTGCCCAAAAACCTTGTCGACCCCTGATTTACAGTGTCTTTAAGGATACTTAACTCTTGATATTTAGTTCCTTTCTGAGTTGCAGTCTGGTAACAACGGGCTCCTTTTTACCTAGTGAATTGCTACAAGGAATTGTGGGTGAAACTGTACAGAGTTTGCCTATCTCACTTTAGGGGATTTTGCCTTATTTAATTGGTTTCTGCTTCTTATAAAGCTTACACCATGTCAGACTGGGGCTTAAGTGTTCTCCCATCTCTCCCACTGCACAGAATTTTGGGTAGCTTTCAACTGAAACAGTGCTGTGGTCTGAGTTCACGCTAAATTCCTACCTCCCCTTGTTTAAAATGTAATTTAAGCCCTCCAAGGTACCTGAACTGAGTGCACAGCTTGCAGCACGCTCTGTTACCTCACAGCTGTTTTGCATGACTTTTGTTGTGAGGGTTGCCACTGAAGAGAAAGCCAAGCCAATCTTTTTTTCAGCAATGCAGGCAAAAGAACAGGGCACTGCACCAAGGCCTTGAGAGTCTAGAGCAGTTGTTCTCAACCAGTGTGCTGTGGCACCTACAGGTGCCCTGAGATCCTTTCAGGAATGCCATGTAATGTTAGCACTGTTAGGTGTGGAAACTATTCACAAGATAAACCCACAGATTTCAAATAGGAATCCATAGTTTGAAAAACTTCCTGACCTGGTGTGGGCTTTTTTAGTGCTTTGTAACAGGCGAATTGCTCTATTTTTCCATAGTCAAGAAAACAAGTGAAAAGTAAGAGCTGGCATTTTCCAAGTGGTGCCTCAAGTCTAACAAGGGATGATTTGAGCCTAAGAAGGTTGAGGTCTACAAGGCCTGTGAATCCCAGGGGCACAGGGCCACAGACAGACCGAGACTCCTGGGTGGTAGCATCAGTGACTCTGGGCTCGTGGGTGCGCTTCAGGAAGGGAGTCACCAGACATGAGGTGTCCCAGGGAGGCACTTGGAGCCTGGCAGGTGAATGGGTGCAGTGAGGTGGGTAGCTCAGTGCAGGAGCACCCCCTACTGGCCCACCACAGTTTCCACTTAATCTGCTGAAGATGCATAGTGGGATAATAAGGGGAGAGCAGAGCCAGAAGTGTTGTGTTCCTCTTGTGTTGGTGGGAATGGGGGAAGGAAGGACAAGATGGATTGCTTACATTTCCAGGGTTATGCCTTCCTGAGAGATCTAGGATTTAGCTGCTGTTGTGGCTACTTCTGCTGTCTGGGTCTTTCAGATCCTCTTAGCAAAGCTGTTCTTGCTTCTTACCCTCTTGTGAGAAACCCTCTCACATGAGAAGATGACTAAGTGCCAGGACTCGGTCACCGGTACAGTGACACATCCCTTCTTTATGTTTGTCAGTGACTGGAAGCAGGGGGTTACCCAGCAAACATGGATAGAGGTGCTCTCTCTTGCTCTCAGTTCTTCCTTCCCGACCGTGTGAAATATCAGGGAAAGAGAAGCTTTTCCTGTTCTTGTTGTTCTCCCTACGTGACAATCCTGCTTGAGCTGACATTGCCTTTCTGTTGGAATAAATGTACTTAAAACTTTGCCGACTCTTCTCATCTATGGATCTCAAAATTTTTCACCAGCATTTCACCAGGGAACCCAAGCCCATAAATGGGTGCTGAAATGCAGTTGCCTCTGGGGTTGGTCACAAACTGCAGGCTCCCCCATGTTGGCTGTGCAGTAGTTTTGACCTGTTTTATCATTCTTTCTCTGGAAAATGGCACTTTTTTTCCACAGAGAACTAGTGGAACTCATTTCATGCAAGTTCCTTAGTATTTATGGAGAATATCCCTCAAGAGAAGTAAAGTCACAGAATTCATTTAATTCAAGCTAGTACTGCATGAAAGATCAGTTTTTAACCCCTGTACTACCAGCTTTTAATCTAAGTTGGCTAAGCAAACCCACAACAAATGGAGCTGGAGTAGATGTCCACAGCCTGGGGCACTCAGCTCTTAGGGTAGTTGAGTTCTTGGGAGGCTGCTGCATTCCAGTTGCGTTTGTCCTTCGGGAAATCCCCTGGGTTGCTGGGTTCTCTCCTATTAAATTTGAGAAGAACTTCTGTTGGGTATCTGTTTTTCCTTCTGTTCATCCTACTTCTCTTTTTCTTCTTTCCAGATCATCAGAAACTGGAGCGAGAGGCCCGAATCTGCCGACTCTTAAAACATCCAAACATTGGTAAGTATCTCAATGAGTGTGTGGCTAATTCAAGCATCCAACAGGTGTGTGATGTTTGCTAGACTTCTGAGCTTGGCTACTGGATGCTCACAGCTAACCTCTGCATAATTTTAGCCATATTTGCATAGTGTGACCCCATAAGTTGCTCTTTCTTTCTACAGTTCCTGCACACAGAGCTATTTACGATGCTCTGTGACACTGGAGAAAAGACCTGGAACCCCTCGGTCCTGGTATATACAATTGTAGCTCACAGAGGTGCATTGTGTACCCCTCCATTCTTGCACAACAAACTGTCCCTGATTTTTGTGGCATGGTACTCTGAGTCCATTTGGCATTCTGCACCAAGGGTGAGTTTCTGTTGTATCCTGCTTCCGCATCCTGGCGTCTTTTTCTAAACACCCATTGAAAGCTGTATTCAGTGAGATCTCCCATTAAAGCACAGTGGATTGAGCTCTTGGCTCCTCTCAACTTGGTGGTCACAAGCTCTGAAAGCAAGAGAGCCAATACTTTGTTTCCACTCTTGAAACTGGTTTTTTTGTTGGGTTTTTCTTCTGTGTGTCTATTTCCAAGTGTCACTTGCACATGGTCTGTTTCCATGGATATGCTACATGCAGGTTTATTTTCTCTCCCAGAAAAACAGAGGGGCAGAAAGAAGTGCCCACTCTGAAAGCTTTGGTGACAAGCTAAAAATAAATGATGCAGCTATGGGGACAGCTCTGACTTGAAATATGAGGAGGGGGAAATTAAGACCCAATTTCTAACAAAAAAAAAAATACATTATTTACTGAACAGGAGAAACAGGAGCAGGATTGTGTCCTGTTCCAAAAACCCATGGAAGCTTGCCCAGCAGCCCCAGTCCAGTGAAATTTGACATTATTTACTAGAAACTGCCTTGAACAGAAAATGTAGACCATGTTCTCTGCTTCTGTTTTTTCTTTAAAAAAAAGAGGTAGGGACTAGCTAGAAACTAAACTGAGGTGCCTGTTTCCCTAGGGAAGAATAGTGAGTGAGTAACACCATTCTGCCTCTTTCAGGTACATGACAAAACTACTCTAGGTACCTCTGCTGCCTGGTAGACCTGTAGTAGAAGACCTGGCTCTGTTGCCTTCATAGGGAAGGCCTGGGTCTGCAGCCATCCTAAGAGAGGTTGCATCTCCTAAGTGCTATATTTAGTAACTCTGGAAACTTAAAGCCTCAAGTCTTGGTCCATGGGTAGCAGCCATGTACTTCAGCCCTAATCCAGATAGATTGGATGTTTAGTTCAGGTTTCATGACCCAGGCAGCCCTTTGACCTCTTTCCTAACCTTGTTAATCATCATCCTGTTGGCTTATATTGCATATTGCTGTAGGTCCATATTCAGTTAAAAAGATATGTATCTAAAGCTTTTAGTTCCTGTGGCACTTTCCAAAAATAGACATTTTTTCCTGAAAAGCCAAGGGAAGGATGCTCCCCTACTACATCTATAGTATGTTCTTTTTGTAAATATGTTCTAGGCCCCAACTTCCTCCCATCCCTGCCCCACCAAGGGCTTGGGAGTGGAGTTGAGCTTTGCAGTGTATTCTGAAGGCCAACTGGTATATGCTATTTCAAAGGCAGTGAGCAGTTTCAGTAGTCAGGGCCCTCAGCATGCAAAACAATCTGCCACGAGTGTTCAGGTAAGTGTGTTGCTCTTAATTGCAACCATACACGTATGGCACTGGGAGAGAAGTAGTGACCCAAAGAGACCATTAGAGTTTCTCTGCGTTGAGGAAATAGCTACAGTCCAGGGGGATCTCCTCTAGGACACTTCAAAATGTGGCATTTGTTACTATTCATCCACTGCACCTTATTAGTACTGATAGATAAACTGGCCTGTATTGGTTCAAGGTATAGTAGTGTAATAAGGTGCTAACACTCGTTTTAGTAGTTCACTTCCAGATTTCTTGAGACCCAAAAGTTGTTGGTTGGTTATTTACATGCTGGAAATTAAGCAAGAGAGAGCCATATTTTCATTTTCTTTTGGTCTTAAATTTCTTTCTTTCCCAGTCCTCTCTCCTCTTAATTCCTACATCTCTTCTTGTCAGGCCCCTGCAGATTAAGTATTGCCTGCAAGGACAAGAGCATTTTTTGAGTGGATCTGGCTGAGATCACATGAGTATAGGTAGTTTCTCTCTGCAGCTGGAACCCAATATTGAGGTACCTTGTCTGGTATTGGGTGTGTCCTGGTCTGTAGTCCATGACAAGGGGTGTGGCAGAAAGCCACCTTGGTTTCTCCCCAAAATCTCTGCCCTGTGACACTGTGATAATATCTGTGCTGTGACCATTTGAGTAGGGGAGGGGCTCAGCAGAGGAGACTACACCCTTACCTTGTCTCTTTAGGTAACTTGAGCTGGCTGCATTCCTGAGGGAGGGGGGAAACATGCTCCCTCTGCCTATGTGACTGGTACCTGGGTAAGGGGTTTCTACCTGGTGGGTTGGAATCTGCCCGGCAACTAGTGAGGTATTTCATATGGGTTGGCAGAGCTCCTCCACTGGCCCAGGTGAATGAGGTCACAGGGGCTATATAAGTTGGGACGGCCTAGAAGACGGTCTCTTTGGCCATGAGGTGAGGCTGAAGCCATGAGGGGGGGACTCAGAGGAGCATAAACATCTGAAAGGGCCCTCACCCCCAAAAACTCATGAACCAGGAACAGCCAGACGCTAGAAAGGATCTCACCAGCCTCTGGATGAAGTGTGTGAGTAAGCTACTCGAGATCTGATAGATATTTAGCTGGCAGTAACTTAGATGCATGATCAAAAGGGTACCACAGCCAGACTGTTTGCTCTTTAGGATTTCTAAGATATTGCTCAATCCTGTACCCTAGTTTACCCTACCCCTTGTAATCAATAAAGTTCTCCTTTTTGACTGGTGTGGGAGACTTATTGAGGGGTCAGCCAAACATTAAATTATGCCTAAGAGACCCCTTAGGTCTGCGGACTAAGGGAGACTTTGCTTTTTGCCCCCTGACTTGGGGAAGTGCCCCAGGTGCCTGTACTGGGTCGAGTACCCGTCGGACTATTAGGCCTGTGTTTCCGCGAGGACACAAGGCCGAGACAGTCCGTTCTCGGGGTGGTGGCAGCGACATTACCCCCAGACTAGCGAGTGTGCTCCGGGAGAGGGGTCAGCCAAACATAAGGCGCCCCTAGGGAGGCATTTGGAGCCTGGAAGGTGGTTGGGCGCAGGGAGGTGGGTGGCTCAACACAAGTGCCCCCTACTGGCCCGCCTCATGTGGTGGGAGTGGTGGGATATGAATACCCTGCTGTTTTACTGAGGTGGGATCCCTGCACCCACCACAAGGGGTATGGAGTTTTAGAAAGGAAGATGGGGTTGAAGGGGCACCTCTAAGTCGTGGCCAGCAGTCTCACTTAAACTCTGAAAGAAATGCACCATTTTTCCCCTACTGAGAAGAGCCTTTAGTTGCTTTAGGTATCAATTTAAATCAATGTGGCTGTCCCAGGTCATAGAAAGGTACCCTGTAGGTGCTGTCATCTCTGAATCCATTATTCTGTAATGTGCCTAACATGAAAATTTCTGCTTATTGCAGTGCATGAGTGTGCACTATGCTAGTGATATTGCCCAACCACCAAAGAATTATGCAGATTGGAGCATGGTGACAAAGAAGAGATTAAATTATTTTTGGAAATCCTGTAACAACATGTAATGAGATAATAGGGAAGACTGGTACCTATGATCTGCAACACAGTTGCTGGTAAATTATTGAAAGGTAAAAGTTCATCCCCTATGTAATTGCTGTCCCTTTCTCCTGGACTTGTGGGGCACGCAGTATGCTAGTGGCTAATTTGCGGGTCACCTGGTCTGGCATAGCAACTCCAAAGTGTAAAACCATGACTGCAGCACTTCTGTTTTACTCTAAATAACCTTTTTGTTACCTATTTGAGTACAAAGCAGTGCTGATGTTGCATTTGATTTTTATTACGTTTCCCTTGCTGTCGCTCTTTGCATTATGACCACCTAGGGATTTATCCTGAAATGCCGCCACCCAGTCTCAGCCCTAATTATGGGCTATTGCTCTGTAATTAGCTGTTTTGACTGTTTATGGATACACACTGGGGCCAAGGTAATCTCAGTAGTGTAATCCTTTTGGAGGTTTATTGTTACAGTGCAGTTATTCCTTGATCCAAAGATGTTGGCAGTCTCTGGAGGGAAGAGACTTATCTTGAGGCAACTTCCAGAAAGCCTTCATTTCCAAAGGCAAATTACTTGTAGGCAATATGTAAAGTGCTCTCAACTGGCTACCATCCAAATGTATCTGACTTGAGTGCAGCATTTCAGACCTTATTTTCTTTGAAGAAGGGAAAATGTGTTCCAAGTTTTCTTCCTTAACCCTTCAGATTCATTCCTCACCACTTTGTGCTGACCCTGAGTGGCAGTAAACTACACTCCAATGGGATGGGGATCAGATAAGGACCCATCCACTTTCATGTACTGTTCCAAAAGGAAAAGAAACATAGCTTTTACTGCGGAGGTGGAAGTATACAGGAGGGGAGCAGAAGGAAACTTGGCCCTAATCATGTCATTTTTAGGCAGGCAAAAGTCATATGGCAGTCCATGAGAGCTTTTCCTGTGTTTCCAAAGTAGGTGCTGCTCTTTGAACCATTCAAACTCAAGACCAGCTTTTATAGAGCTGTGTATTGCTATGAACATTCAGAAAGCTCTTTGGCTTCTTTGGAAACCATAGGCAAGTGTTTTTACATAGTGCATGGGCAGCCAAATACTACCTCTTGTCCTGTAGTTTGAACTATAGCAGGGGTGAGTAAAATGCAGCCCGGGGGCTGGATGCAGCCTGCCAGGCCATTCTGTCTGGCCCACGGGACCCCTAAAAAATTTAGAAAATTAATATCTATCTGTCCCTGGCTACCTATCATGCAACCCTCGATGACTTGCCAAAACTCAGTCAGTGGCCCTCCACCCAAAATAATTGCCCACCCCTGAACTATAGAATCGGGCTTCCGTAGGCAT